GGCTTACAGTGTATATAATTTATACATAATATAATATGTCGTATATATATCAATATATATGATATACAGTGGCGCTGTAGATAAAATTCGATATATGATAATAATAATATAATAGACGTAACAGCAGCGGCTGGTACCTAGGTACCTATGTAGAACTGTGCACGTTGTGTTGCATAATATGGATCATAATGTACGATTGTGAAGTAATCGACGGTCCTTGTAAAAAGAAAAAAACTAAAATGAATAGGTCTATATCTGAAGCGAGAATAATAGTGATGTATAATACACATATAAAAAAAAATAAAATCGTGTACATAGCACACTATAATAATTATATTCATATTCGATTATCGTATAGTCGACCATTGATACTAAAATTAGATATAGTATCTAAACATAGTAATGATATGTTTTATACATTTTATTTATTGTAAATCGATAATTATTTTACTAGAAATTCACGAAATGCAGGATAAACTAAACGAATGGATTACTAAAATAAATATAGTACAATATCGTTAAATAATCAATAAGGTCTAACTACACACCACATCATACATACTACAGAAATGAAATATTGCAAAACCAAATTTTATTTTGTTTATTATATTAATTCTCTTTTTTTGCTAAGCAATAAGCATACTATATTATATAAAATTTAAATAAAATGTTGATGTCAGGAAAATCTAAACGTAACAAAGTGAAGTGTTAATTTTTTATAAATATTCAGGGTGAATCATCAAATAATAATCATTATTTAAAAGTCTATAATGTTTAAAAAAAAAAAAACTTTTATATCGTTAAAATTTTAAGTTTTTCCGAAGAGTATTCTGCTTCAGAATATGAAATTAAAAATATATATTGTCATTCAAATAGTAAAAACTTAAAAAATATATTTTAAAAAAAAAAATTTTGGATTTTCCTAGCTTCTATTCAGATTTATTTGAGCTGGTTAAAGATGATAATTTCGATGGTAAATATGCCACTGACCGTTTAAGAAAAGATATACCATATCGTGATTCGTATAAACTTTTAATTCACTTTCTAAAGTAATAATAGTATAACAGACCAAAAATGTATACAAATATCGGTAGAATAAATTTAAACATTAATTTTTGTACTATAAATTCGACTTGAGAGAGCGGACAAAAGACACTGAAATAAAGCGTTAATAATAATAGATTAATTGACTGCTTGAAATAAATATTAAATTCTTATTTGTAATTTTTTTAATATAGCTTTTGTAGTTATTTATCAAAACACGATCAGTATAAATTATTAAAACGTTGAAAATGTTGATGATGGTTTCTGATTTTTGAAAGTTCAAAAATGAAAATTAAGTCCAGTACTTTACAAAATAATCACCACAGAAAAAATAAAATGTTTACGTAACATACATTTTTGATAAAATTAATTTCGTGAATTAACTATAGATATTTTAAACAGCATATTATAGATTTTTAATTCACTTTATTGTAACTTGACTAGATATAGAAATCTTAATGTGATAAAATAAAAAAAATTATACTGAATGTAACTAATGTTAGTTAATTTTACTTTAGTGCCCCTGATTTATATCGCATCGAAAGATAACTTAAATTATAAAAATATTTCTTATTATTATCTTACACCTATATTAAAAATTAAATTAAAACAATATGTATAATAGAATAAAATAAAAATGGAAATTAATAGCTATCCTTGAGTCTAGTTAAAAATTAAAATCCACGTATTACATTTAAAATATGTATCAAGCATAAAACAAAAACAATAATTGAATCGTTAATTATTATTTATGAATTGTATATTGTATTATATATGTTTTATTTTTAAACACTAAACAAAATTGTATTTTATTTATTTAAATGATCAAATCTACTTTCATTACTGTAACCCACAAAATACGTTATGCATGTTAAGCAAATAAAACCGATAAACCAAAAAAAAAGGGATTATATAGTTTATAAATAAGACGTGTAATTAAATTATTCATGTAAAACTTTATTGGAAAATTTAACTAAGATAAGACCTAACTATGGGTTATCGGTCATTAGGTAAATAGAAAAATGTAAAACTTGAAATTAACAAAATCAAAATAATAATAGTGTTAACCTTTATGATTTCCTTATTAATAATTTATTTATACTCATAAATATTGTAGTTAATGTTTACAGCTTTTATGTACAATTTGTTGTATAAAGTCAAAATTTTATGATTCATTACGATTTTTTTTTAAAACTAATTTAAGTGAACAGATTAATAAAAAAATTAACGGAATACAAAATGTATATTAAAATATGAAAAAAAAAATCGAAAATATTTATTACTATTGTATGTTATAAATAGGGATGAGAAGTTATAGGATTTGCATATTTTTTTCTGTATCTTCTATTTATAGCTAGGTGAGCTAAAAATCTGTTTTATAACCTAATGAATCGAAATTTGGTATTTAAATTTTGCATATTTTTGCATATATTGGTAGTTTTCTTAAAAGTTATAAAAATGCATATTTAGTAAAATTATGTGGAATTTAATACAACTGACATGAAAAATTTATTATTTTATAGAATTGTATGTGTTCGTAGTCTATAATAATAATCAATCTGCAATAATCAATAAAATAAAAATGCAGATAGCAAATTTGAAAATTGTAGAATTGTAACATTTAATAGTAGGTAGGTATATTAAAGTAAATCTAGGATTAGTATCTTATCTAATCGTTTATTACTCAATTAGTCTGACTAGTGACAACCGTTGTTATACAATCGTATGTTCGTTCGTGTGTTTGTTTGGTTTAGAAACATAATTTAAAATGCCATATTATAATATGTTTTTTGCATATTTTTAATTTTTTATGCATATTTTGTCTATTTTAGCTCCTATAACTTCTCATCTCTAGTTATAAATATTTATAAACCTAACATATACCTAATATATTACTATAGTAGTACAAGTAGTACATAATATGTACCTAAGTCGTTTTAGTTGAAGATATTAAGTAGTATTTTTAAATAAATTATTAATTATTCGTTAAATTTAATTTTACTGGTTTTGGAATTAATTTTGGTATACAACTAAATTTATAAATTGGATTATCAAGCATAAAAAAAAAGGGTTCAATAATTTAGAATACTGTTCACAACTATCAGAACTCTTAGAAAAAAACTGTTCACTTCTCATAATAAAATGGTATATTATTCCATTTATTAAAAATTAAAGCTGATAAACCAAGTAAAATAAGTAAAATAAATTATGATAAATATCACGAAACCGAAAAATATGAGAAATGTAATATAAATTATAAAATCATATACTAAAAATTTATAATAACGGAATAATTCCTGGTAATATTATATAATATGATCCAAATACATTTTTAAAACAAAAAAAAAAAAACAATACCGGAAAACAGACATTTAGACGTCTTTAAATAAACCTGAAAATCGCATATACTTTATACTTGAATAACAAACAATAATAATTAAGTATTAACTATTAAGAAGAATACACTGTGGATTGAAATATCATACTACAACGTTCAAAATTATACATGAATACATGATACATGGTATGTGAACTGTCATTAATTTTGTTCAATACATATGTTTTGTATGCAATTATTGATATTCTCACCGCTAGAACATATTTTAAGTGTTATTACTTACTATTATTACTAGTAACTATCAATTACAACTTACAAGTAAAATTATTTTCACCCACGTTAACGATTACCCGTGACACGTTGATTAGCACACGCCAATGACTGGTTAGATTCCTGAGTAAATGCGTTTTCAAGGATGACAAGGTAAATTTTAGATAAGTATAAACATCTATATTTTTTATAACAACGTTTGAGAATTGTTACAATAACAACAATAATATATTTAATTGTTCGGTTCGTGTAAATTTATTCAATCATAATTTTGTATTAATCATTATAAATGAACTTTGATTGAGTATATTACTTAAAACTATAATGCCAGGTTGCCTGACATTTTGATTAATTTAATGGACAAATCATGAGCCACTAAATCATATTTAAGGGATCATTAACTCGCAATTAATTCATTCATTAATCATTAATGTTTAATGATATTATTATGCAATCTGGCATTAGAAAAGTTCTTTTGTAAAGTACCTATTATCCCAGTTCCCGCAGATCTTATAAATGAATGCCAAGTATTCGATTCTAGTTCTAATTGAGTGTTAATAATTATTCTTTAATATTTAATGATATTAAAACTAAGATATTAAGACGGTCGAAATTTGCATTGCAAAAATAATAACAATGAAACAAAAATATATTTATTAAAACTATGAGATATTTTGCCATAAATAGCTATACTTTTTTAACTATCTAAAATATTTTTTCACTGCAGTATTTAACTATTTTTATTAGTTGAATAATAATTAATTGTTTACCTATCATTGGCATTATTTTATGAATAGGTAGAGGATTACATTAATAAATAATAAGTATACATTTTAATGGCTTATTGGTTTATGCTTTTTATAAACCCATCAATTTAGGATATAGTCACATTAGCTAGTAGAGTATATTATAGTTCTTATAGAGGTAATCGAATAATAGTTATAGTTATGTGTGGCAGAATTACTAATCTTAATGATTTTTGCAAGGCTGCCATCGACAAGGTGAGAATTATAGACAAATGCATAGTATAGCGTGACTATAGTATAATATGATTGTTTTATTAAAACAGCTCGGGAGCTCGTGAGTTTTCAATGTTAGATATTATACGATTAAAAGGATGTATACAATAAGTATATTTACAAATACGTTCTGTAGTTAAATCTTGTCGTCCTTTCTGTTATTCGGGGCACTATACGAAACTAATGACATGTTTAATTGATACGCTAATAAAGGACTCCATAGAATATAATAAATATCTATTTTTCTCTGTTTTAAAAATACAACATTATTACTGTTTTTAATTTAATAACAATTAATTAATAACTATTTGTTGTATGTTATATTATAGCAATGCGTCCAGAATTGCCAATTGGATTGATGGAGCGACGGCCTCCGTTGGAAACCCAACAATCAACAGTATGGACAAGACGCCAACAAGCTGTATGCGTAAGACGAGCTTACAAGAAATATGGACAGAGCTCAAATCCACATGTTATACTTGATGGGCTTAACATGACTGTCCCAAAAGGCTGCATGTAAATTTATTTAAATATTTTTCTTAGCATGAAGTAAAATTCGTACGTGTACACTTACGAATCTTATGCAACATATACTTTTACATAATTGATAAGTAATACTATAAAATGGTGAATATGTAACATAGCTTATTGTAACATTCGAAAATACAAAACTTAAATTTATGCAGGTTATTCATTTTTGACATAAATATTTCACAAAATTGTGTGATGATAATAAATATAGCCAGTACCTAGTTACATATTATTGTACTATATTTGAGGTACTTAAGAGAAAAATAAAACACAGAAAATAATACATAATATTAGATACTTCTATAAATAATTATTATTGTAATTATCAGTTGGGTGATTTAAATATACCTTAGTGGGTACCTATATTATATTATATTGGGGTTCAGAACATCTATTATACGCAGCATTAATTTTTTAGATATGGTCTCTTGGGGGCTAGTGGATGTGGAAAAACTACATTGTTAAGTTGTATAGTTGGCCGTAGAAGACTCAACGCTGGTGAAATATGGGTGCTAGGTGGTAAACCTGGATCTGCTGGTAGCGGTGTTCCAGGACCTCGTATCGGATACATGCCTCAGGTATTATAGCTATGTCTTCTGTAATTGTTTTTATTATAGTAATTGCAATTTATTTTTATTTTAAAATTATTTTTAAAATTTTTAAAGGAAATTGCACTTTATGGAGAGTTTACAATCCGAGAAACTATGCAGTTTTTTGGTATGGTAAACGGCATGACACCAAAACAGGTGGATGACAAAATAGAATTTTTACTTAAATTTTTACAGCTACCGTCCGCCAGTAGGCCAGTTAAGAATTTGAGGTACCTACTTAATTAATTTCTTTATAATATATGGTATTTTCACGAATAATGAATAATAATACACATTTTTCGATACATTTTGGTGCAGTGGTGGACAGCAACGGAGAGTTTCTTTTGCTGCGGCTTTGTTACATAATCCCGAGTTACTGATTTTGGATGAACCTACTGTTGGTGTTGATCCAGTTCTTCGTCAAGGGTTCGTATAACATATTCGATAAGTTATACATTTATAAACATGAGTTGTATTTCATACAGAATATGGGATCATTTAGTCCATTTAACTAAGGATGGAGGAACAACAATTATTGTCACCACGCATTACATTGACGAGACTAGACAAGCTCATATGGTAATTATCACATGTATAATAATGATAAATATTTGTACTTTGGACACAAAAGCATAACTAGAGTAAAATATTCTTTAAGACTAAAATCACTTAAAAATAAAACATACTAAAATGTCTAAAAATGCAAATCCATTATCAAAATATTATTTAATAAGTCTCTTTGATGTGTTAAAAGTATAAACCTTCTAATTAGTCCAAAGGAAGGTCTAGCCTCTCTAGCTTTACTATTTGTGTGTTATACATAAAAACGGACATCTATAAAAAAAACTAAGGTTATTAGAAAGTAAAAATTTAATTTAATTGAATTTAATTCGTCTATAAACATAGATCTATCTCTAAGCGTGTAATTAAATCTATAAACATTATAAGCATATAATAAATACAAATAATTAGCTCATAGTCCGTTACCCTTTTATATTTTTATGACATTTTTCATTAATATTGTAATCAATTATTTTAATTTAAATATTATTCTGAATCATTATTTGATTTAAAAAATATATATAAATTAATTTTGAATATTGTACATACCTACCTGTTTTTAATAGATTGGTTTAATGAGAGGCGGTAAATTTTTGGCTGAAGAATCACCTACATCGCTTTTACAAAAATACAACTGTCAATCGCTAGAAGACGTTTTTTTAAAGCTTAGTGTCATTCAAAACCGTGGCAAACGGAGGCGAAGCAGCATTTTGCATGACATAACAGCTGCCATTGCTGTTCCGGTAAAAAATATATCATTACAATATACTTAATAAATATTATTTTAAATAAAATTATTCAATCGTATTAATATTATTATTAATGATCGCTTATTAACTTTATCCGTAGGAAACTTCTCCTGTGCCAGCTGTCGAAGCACTGAATTCTATATGTGACAACTCGTCGGAAATGAGTGGTGAATTTGGAGATAGTATTAGTCCTGTTCCACTAAGTAAGCGAATGTCTGTATGTTCAATGCAAGTCAATAATACGGAAATGGAACTTCCACCGGAAGCAAATACAAAAATGACACTTTTCGACCGATGCAAATTATATCAGTCGCATCACATGCGAGCATTGATTTGGAAAAACTTTTTGTGGATGTGGAGAAATGTAGCGTAAGTGACCTTATTAAACAATAGTGTAATAATATCCAATAATTTTTAGAAAAAACATATTTTAAATTTAAAGTTTTGTATTGTATTTGTGTTAAAATTAGGTTATATATATACATCGATAAGACTCGCATGATATCCAATAATCAATAAGCACTAATAAATTATTAATATTAAATGATTTAAGTAGTTAGTACAGGTAATATAACCTTGGCTTACTTTTAGTATAACAAATGTAACAATAAATTTAACGGAAGAAAAAATTTAAGCACAAATTTGTGAATATAATTTTAACTGTAGTTGTTGTTAAAAATACATGATTTAAATAAAAAGTAATTTGATAAAGAATACTTGAAATTAATTTACAGATATTTTGAATGTAATAAAAACCAATGCTTTACAAAATAACTAATGAAACAAAATATTGCTCTTAAGATAGTTATTACCAGTAATTAAGAAAAGACTTTTTCCACACTAATTTTTAAAAATTAGTACCTAGATTTTATAATATTAACGTCTAACGTTATTTACTTTTCACCGTAATAAATAAACTAAAATTAATATTAAAATATTAAAATAAAATATATAATCAAATGGTATTGTTACTTGCGAATTGTAAGTTACGATGATTTGTTACTCTATTCTTTAATTCATTGTAAGTTGCTGTAATATAATTGATAATGCGTGTAATTCTATCTATATACTGCAGCAAAGTTACGTTAAACCATTTTGTTTTAAAATGAATGCATAACTTAAAAATTGTAATGAATAGTACATATCGTACATCATTCTCAGTGGCGTAAATTGGGTTCAATTTCTGGTAGTGCAGAGGCATATTCTCAATCTATAATTTCCAACACACCAATAATCTAAGTTCCTGAGCAAAATCCTTCCCAATAAACTATATATTTTTCCATATATTTCTTTAAATAATAAATACATTTTGAATTATTTTAGCAGTAAAACCTTTATAATTATTATATTAATAAAAAAAACAATCAACAATTTCTTTTTATTTATTTTAAGTTGAGACGACGTTTCTGTTTATATATTATATATTTCAATGATTTTCTGGAGGTGCAAAAACATACCTTTGAACCACCACATTTAAGATGTGGTGGTGTAAGTGCTGCATTTGCACCACCCAGTTTACGCCACTGATCATTCTAGAGTCTGTACAACAGCAAACATAGCTTGCTAATTTATCAGCTATTAGATATACAAACACATCGCATTTGTTTAGATATTTGTATGCAATAGTAATACTATGCGTCTATGCCTATATATTTCAGAACTATTGGACTCTAAAATTATTCAATATTTTATTGTTGCTCACAGGGTAATGATGTTTATTGTGGGACTTCCAGTTGCTCAAATCGTATTGTTCTGTTTGTCCGTTGGAAAAGATCCATATGGTTTGCATTTGGCCGTCGTTAACCATGAAACGAATAACAAAACTTGCCCGCCGACCGGATCTTGCGAATTAACTCAACTCAGTTGTCAATTTCTACATCAGATTGAACTACGCCGGCAAGTATTAGTAAGTAACAAAAAAACATACATTAAAGATTCTTATGTTACGAAATCGCTAATTACTTACTATATTATTAATAAATAGCGTATGAACGATGTTTTTATTTTAAACGTTGTAACATTTACCATCTGTGTTAATTCTATTATAAAGGATTTTTTCGACGACGAAGAATCCGCTTTTCGAGCAGTTAAACGAGGCAAGGCTTGGGGTGCTTTGTCTTTCACTTCAAACTATTCGACGTCACTAAGACAACGTATGGATGAGGGACAGGCTGCAACGGATTGGACACTAGATGATAGTGTTGTCTCTGTTTGGCTCGATGAATCGAGTAATTTAAATTAATTTATTTACGTCTAAATAATTCTAACTAAAATTAAAACTTTATAAGAATATAAAATAAATAAATTCGGCGAAAATTATAATTATTTCTATTATTACTGTATCTATAATTGAATTAAGCAATTTTAAACACAACCAATCATTATTTTAGATCAACAAATATCCATGCTGCTTCGACGAGATATTTTATTCGCTTTCCAAGATTTTGCTTCAACACTGGCGGTAACTTGTAACTTCAGTACGAAAGTTGTAACTAATCCTATACAGGTAATTAATCATAATAAAAATAATACATTTTTTTAAATTAATGAATTTATTATTTTATATTTTTTTAATTGGATTAATATTTTTATACCAATTTATTTTCTAGTTTAATAAACCCGTATACGGTCCATACGTACCAAATTTTACCGATTTTGCTGCTCCAGGGGTCATACTCACGTGAGTGTAATTATTTATATTAAAAGTATTTTTATCCATATCACTAATAAGTAATGAGTTGATAAAAAACGTTTAATATATTTCTAATATTTTAGGATTATATTTTTCTTAGCCGTAGCTTTGACGTCTGGTGCTATGTTGATTGAAAGAAATGAAGGCATATTAGAAAGAAGTTTAGTTTCGGGTAAATTTTAATACTGTTATAATTTATATAAAAATGCATTAAAATAAATCAAATGTTAATTTAAGTCTCACTGTATAATCTTCTTAGGTATTACGGGGATTGAAGTACTTTTAGGACACGTAGTGTGTCAACTTTTAATTATGGTGTTCCAATCACTGATGGTCATTGCATTCGCATTAGTTATTTTCGATATAACCAACGAAGGAGATGTGTTTTGGATATGCTTATTAACAATATTGACTGGATTGTGTGGCATGTGTTTTGGTAAGAAATTATTGAAATCATATTTTAATCTCACAATGAAATTGAAACAAAGAGTCTGAAATATAGCATACTAATTTAACGCAAACAAATTTCATCTTGTGTGTTACAGGGTTTGTAGTTTCTTGTGTAACTGACAGTGAGAGGAATGCGACATATTTGGCTATGGGCAGTTTTCTACCTATTGTCATGCTTTGTGGTTTGTATTATTTTATAATTACATTTTTATTATGATTTAGAATACTGGCCATAATATTATATGTTGATACCTATCATATATAATGAGATTGAAATACGACACCCATTTTATTATTAAATTTTATTTTTATATCAAAATCATGTTTATAAAAATGATAGTGCATCCTTCTTATCTAAATGCAATATCTACTTATGTACAAATTGTTTGTTTAAAATATGTTTACATAATAGGTATATGTGATGGTTTATGATATTTAAGAGAGAAAATTAATTTACCTATATAGTTGACTCATACTTGTTACATTTAAAGATAAACCAGTGTATCAACTTTAGTGACTACTTATCCTTAAATTTTCAAAGTTTTTAAATATTTACACTTCTATAAAAATTTATTTTACTGAACATACACGAAATTTTTATGATATGTGTGTGGAAAGGCACCACATTATTTATTATCAAATAATTAATTACCTTCTTTATGTTTTTAGGTATAATATGGCCAGTGGAAGGAATGCACGCGGTGACAAAATCAATAAGTTATATTTTACCACTGACGCAGTCTACGGAGTCAATGAGATCGATGTTGGCAAGAGGTTGGCCAATCACCGAACCTTCTGTTTACATTGGTTTTTGTTCCACATTAATATGGATTTCTATATTCCTCACATCTAGTGTGCTGTTGATTAAATTTAAAAAAGGATAGTTTATATAAAGTTCATATTTTTTTATTGCAAAAAATGGTCTACAAACAAATTGTTAGGAAACAATAGTTTTTAATAGCATATCATAATATTAAGTTCCTTATATTATGCTTGAATTATATAAATCATTATGTAATGACTATGACTCTGGGACAGCGGTATATACCTATAAAATAGTTTCTTTTTCTTTTAATACTCTATTTATCTATATTAAAATCATTACCAAAGTTTTTAATATTATAACTAAATATTATGATATTCATTAATATTGAAAATTTACGAAACGACAATAAAAATTATTGAAATAAATATATAAATTATAATTGAAAACCAAAGGTAGGTACATACAATAAATTACAATACACTATACATTATTTTAAGTGTTTATTATAATATTACATACAATTATTAATTTAACTATTCTAAGACTTGTTTAGATATACGTTTTTATATTATTTTACTTCATACTTCTTATTTTAACATTATGTTATATTCACAAAACCATTTTTAATATTTTTTATAAACATATTCTACCAAATAAAAGACTTTGCATTTGTATATATTAGATAATATTTAAAATATACAATATGATTAATTACAAATTTATATAGACAATAGGATCTATAGAACCAATGTATTATTAGAGTTTAAATTATTTTATTACTAAAATAATAATAAAAACAAGGGTAAATTGTAACATTATTATTAATATAAGTAATTTAAATTTTTATAATTTTTATTGAAGTAATTGTAAAATATTAATTTGTAGATTTTTGTGTAAAAATACAAAATAAATATAATTTAAATACAGCATTGTTAATATGATGTAAATTATATTGTTTATAGTTAAATTAATTTAAGATAGTTGTAATTAAAATTGAAAAAAAATAACTATAAAACATTACTGAATTCTTATTTGGTGAAAATAAACTGTTCATATTTAACATGTTATAATATTTAATATTTATCATTTATATTTTATACATTTTTAAATTCTATAATTGTATATTTTTATAAATTTATAATATAAAAGTGTTTATACTATTACAAAGTATAGTTGTAATTTGAAATAGTTAGAGATTTTAAAAAGTTTATGTTGATTCATTATTACCAAATTAATTGTGGTAAAAGAAAGAACGAGAAAATACATGATATGATAGACATTAAACCTATATTAGTACAAGAACTTTTTGACAACAAAATACATGTCCTCGTGATACAACTTTAAAACAGTCAAAGAACGATTCCTATTTTAAAATATTTCCATTAAGCTTAGGAAGAAAAATCGAAGCCAAAAGAGCACGTGTTGCTTAAATGTTACCACTAGTCGAAGAATTTTACATTGAGAAGTTTTGACTTTTCTCCAAATTAATAATATCTTACACATCAAACCTTATAAAGTAGTATAGGGATATGAGATTAAATTTTAAAACATCAAAATTTTAAATTATTATATGTAATAATAAAAATTTTAATAACAATAGTTATACACTTTATATTGAAATCGTCAGTAGATTTTAGTTTTTTAATAAATGAGAAATAATTTTGCAATACTTACTGACTACTGAATACTGTTGTATAAACTAATAAATTATATATTAATATAATCTTTATTAATTAAAAAGTTTTCTTGACTGTAAATTAATATAATCAGAAGTTAAAGACAGTAGAATGGCTAAGTTTAGAATGCGATTACTAATATCATTTTCGTACGTTCCGAAGTTTGTTATCGAATATGTTTTTTATAACTAATATTTACGATTAGGTTTTGTTCAAAACTAAACCAATAACCGATTAAATAAAAAATTACGAAAAAAAATTTGAATTCCGAAACATTATTATAAAATATTCTAAAGCCGGTATATATCAGTCCTATACACGAGTATTATGTCGCAAGAAACTTTGTCCAGGATGCCTGGACAATGGACATGGGTTACTAAACTGGTAACATCCCGGGAAATCCAGGACGAATGGCCAACCTAAAGTCGTAGTACTCCTTTTCGAAGTTATTCCTTTCAAACTCCGCCTCGGTTAGGTTAATCGATCACCTCAATCTCAAATTGTATTTTATCAAACTTTTTGGTAATTTGTGGTAGCTCTTCTTGTCTGAATTTCAACGGTGTAATAACATAATTTTAAATAGGTAGTCAAATTTACTTATAAACGTGCGAACGCGCGTCAAAGAATCCTTCACAACACCTAGTTTCTTTTTCAGGTCACTTAACACTTTTGCTTAAGTTTCATCAAGAGTCATAATAGTAGTATCATATTTTATTCGACGTATTTTAACCAATATACGTAAGACAAAAATCATCGTATCAGAAACATAAATTTTTATAAAAGAATAAAAACATAGATACGCTAAAATACGAGAAAAAAATAATAACTCGAAATTACGAATGCTAGACAAATTTTAAAATATACAAATAAATACCTCGGTACACTAAATATACAACCATAAAGGTAAAAAATGGGGTAAAGGGATTCGAGGAGCTAATATAAAAATAAATTTACGAACAAACAGCTAATATTATTGAATAAATACAATATTTAGCTTCATATAATATAGGTACCAATTAAAAATTCTAGATATTTTTACGCTTGTATAGTGCTATAAATGATGTATTGCGCAATCATAGAAAATAATAAAATAAATGTAAATTGTGATTAGGTATGTTTGATTGCTTACACTATTGATAAGATGAGATGTCAGAAAATAATAAGCATAAAAAAAAAGTGAAAATTACAATTTTTTTTTCTCTTATGGCCTACATTTACCTGTTGATTCTTTTTTTTTTTATTTAGATTATTAAAAACCTAATAATTCTTCTTTATTAAATTGTAAGATGTTTATAAATTTGTTTGAAATAAGTTATATTGTTTAGTGGAATGTCACTCTACTTTTTAATGTAATTATTTATTTGATTTTAGAATTATTTATACAACAAAAGGCCTCAAAAATCTGTTTCTTAATGAAAATCACATTTTATGTAAAATCTAGGAAATAGTATAAGTTTTAAATTTTGAAACTTCATATTTGCCATTAGATTAGGGGCGTCATTTTAGGTTTTTTTTTGGGTGTGTGAGATTTCAAGCAGGTAATTTTTAAATTTTTTCAGGCCATAAAAAAATAGATTTACGTTTATGTACATAATTCTGCTTTTAATATTTTCATACATCACATGTACCAATTTTGATAAATGTCTAAATAAAAATGAAAATACCATTTAAAAATATTTAATTTTGAACATTATCACAGCAGGACGCAGGCCAATTAGTACTATTTTAAAAGTAAATGGTGCAACCATACACCCTGATCCTCCCCCAAATTACGCCCTTATATGATCCTTTTGTTTTCAAATTGATTACTACTAATCTATTTTTTAATGACTACTATTATATTAATAAACTATAACCGTGTCCACAGCAAAAATGGAATCTACTTATATTTGTTATCTAATGACCACGGTCACGTCGTTTATCCTAGTCCGTGCTTTTAATTACTAATTGATATTTTTGAATACAAATTACGAATAATTTATCTTTATCATGAATTTGCCTTGAATTATATAAATAGGTTTATTAATAATTTAACTTATAAAATATATCTGTGGTTCTGTGCAAGATACTAGTATACTATGGCCAACAACAAAAAAAAGAAAAGATTTCAAGTTCGTGGTGGGGGAGGGGTACCCCTCTGACTATGGCACTGGAATGTCCCAATATAAACAAACAAATTGTTAGACTAAGGCCGTCGAAGAAATGCAGATCAGCAGATATCAGGATTCTCCATTAAAATTCTAACAAATGCCTATTATTATTTATAATACAAATCAGCCTTATCATTGTTTTTAACCTATTTTGTGTTTACTGGCTATGAGTGACTAGTGTTACGAGTTTACAACCTTATAAATCTTATTACAGAACATTTAATTAAAATGTAAGACATTCCATGACAATATAATATAAATATATAAGTAGGTAATAACTAATAAGTTTCTAATAGTAATTAGAGGCCACATACATTGTACAAGAGACTTTTCCCATGACGTTTCCTTGGCTACCCAGGTGAATGTTGTGATGCTGTCCCAACATTCTGCATGTGTTCGTCCCTAATTAATAAACTTTGAGTTTTGAAATTTTGATTCGGTTCTTAGTTCGAATCAGGTACATTTTATCACCCCCATACTGGAATTTACAGCTTTAATTTCCCTTTGTGCATAAATGTGCAGCTCACGGGTGTGTGCACGGGTATGCGCCATGCGGTCACGCACTTGCATGGTACTCTGGAGGCAGACGGTTAAGCATAATATGAACAAAGTCCCGTAAAACAAAACTTTTAAGAAAGAAAAAAATAACAACATATTTTATTTTTAGTTTAATTTTGTTAACAACAACCATTGGCTCACCTAGAACTCGTCCGTTGTCTAAGTAGGGTAGTCCATACTTTGTCCCTTCTCAGATGGTAATAGTCAACAGGTCAAAGAATATGTCACATAATATTATTTGTAAATGTAAAAAGAAATGCTGGTCTACAAGTCTACAGTATTTACACTTTTACACAGCAAGCCGAGTTCTTTATTATATTTTTAAAATAATTAATCCGCTAGATAGCATTATATGTCTATAACTATTCCCTGTCAGCTAGAGGGTGGTACCATTATTCAGTTACAACTGTTGCCAGACCTCATAACCCATAACCGTGGTATGCTTAATGTATTTTACTCCTTGTTAAACACTGCGTTATCATCAAAAGTGAAGCCTCTGATCTTATACCGACAACTAAATAGTAAATACTGGCCGTGGCCGCCACACCGCCGACTGCCGACTGCCGACCGCCGAGTGCCTACAACAAACTTCATAAACGTTAAACAGTAAACACAACCGTAGTGTTCAATTTTTGTGGAGTAAGTTTTATTTTTGTTACTGAATGTTTTTATGAACTGAGTTATTGATAACATTTTCTAGTTCTGCGTTGGAAACCCTTTAGCGGTCGCCGCAATGGTTGTTTCTGATTTGTAAGTATGCTCAATTTTCATATAATCATGTGTTAGTGTTTTATTGTTACATCCGAATATCCGATCATGTCGGTCTCGTAAGATAACAAAAACAATTATACGTGGCTCTCCTTAATGTTGGAGCATAAGAATAAACAACTTTAATAATAGACATTAAAACTAATTTGATTTAAAGTCGCATTAGATACTTGATTGTTAAACTAAGCTCAAAATACATATGGTATATTATTCATGTATCTGATCTACCAAATTGTATGTCAATATTGCAGATCATGTAGAAGAATCCAACTGTATTTCCTCTTCCGTCACCAAAAACTTGGAAGACAATTTTCAAGTTAAAACCTAAATAATTAGTGATTACTAAAATTTTTATTTGTTTATATATACTTACAAATTATATAATTCATTGTTCTTAGTTCTTAATACCCTATGATAGTTTACTTCTATTATAGATTTCTTTATGAATGATATAGGATAATTATTTAACATAATATCATACGGTACCATTTTTTTCAAGTAATTTAATTGCTTATTATTTCACATAATGACAGTGTAAGATAGAATTAATTTTCATAAGTTCTTATAAATACATTTAAATTATACTAAGCTTTATAATTATCTTATTAATTTTTAAAGGCCTAAGAATCGCAAAGAAAAAATGGAAGGTGATCATTCAGATAAGGAAAATAAAAGAGAAGAACAAAACATAAAAAAGAAAAAACGTGCTCGTTCATCAAGCAGTGGCTCGAGTAGTAGTCGGTATGAATTCATATTTTTATGTTAGATTTATTTTAAATTAACATTAAAATGGTTTATTTAGTTCATCATCAAGCAGCTCTCGCTCTGGTAGTGGTTCTTCAGGATCTAGTAGCCGTTCAAGTTCAAGTAGTTCTGGTTCTAGTTCACGTTCTAGTTCAAGTTCTTCAAGTTCATCTAGTTCTTCTGGTTCTTCTACTGGTCGAGCTAAAGCAAAATCTAAGTGAGTTTTGGTTATCAATATTTAATAATACATCTGTACTATAAATTAGTTAATCCTATTAAAGAAGAGATTTTTTTTTTATAATTATAATTTATTTTAAATCAACTCAAGGCAACCAAGATTGAAAAGTGGTAGTAAGACGAAAAGTAGAAGCCGCAGTCCAAGAAAATCAAGACGTGATGATGAGGAAAAAGTTAAAAAAGCTGAAAGCAAAACTAGAACTTCTAGAAAATCAAGGTAATAATCTTAAACTAAAATTACGCTTTAAAGAGAATGATATCTTATTATTTTATTTCTTAAAAACAAAATAAAAATTTTGATTACATTTTTTATAGTTTTTCATTACTCTTTACTTATGTTTTAATTATAATGTGTAAGGTTCATGATTTAAAATATATGAATATACCCATTACCTGTGCATTTTTATAGATCATTACTCGCTGTTATCTAAATTGAATAAATGTAGATACACATCTTATTGAACATTTATTTATAACTTTCATACTATCATATTGAAATCATAAATTTAATGTGTTCTAAGTCCGTATACACTGTTCATGTGTATTGTATGCTATAAAAAATCTTAATTTAAAATGTCTACTTTAGGTATAAAGTATAATAATGTTTATAATATGATTTTAGGTCAGGTAGTCCAAAACGACGTAAGAAGGAAAGATCGCCAACTCCAAAACCATGTCGTATTCATGTTGGTCGTTTGACTCGGAACATTACTAAGGAGCATATTCAAGAAATATTTTCTGATTTTGGGACAATAAAAGAAGTAGATGTTCCTCTAGATCGATTTAATAAATTATGTAAAGGATTTTCTTATATTGAGTACTCCACGCCACAAGAAGCTGAGAATGCCATGAAACATATGGATGGAGGTAAGTGTCATATTTATTCAGAGATCTTCAATTATAATTATAAATAATTTACCTTTTATCATTATAGGCCAAATTGATGGACAAGAAATAACTTGTGCACCAGTGTTATTGCCACGTCCAACTATTCGTAGAAGTCCTATTCGCCGTGGTGGTTGGGGCGGTGGTGGTGGCGGAGGTGGTGGTGGACGCCGAAGAAGTCCTCCTCGATACAGGCGTAGATCACCAATGCCTATTAAGCGGCGTTCTCCTCGCCCACGTAGAATGAGGTCTCGTTCGAGATCCCCAAGAAGACGTAAGCACAGTCGTTCTGGATCTAGCAGCTCACCTTAAATTCCAATATAGTGTAATAACTTCACTATTTTTAAAAACAAAACTTAAAATAAACAGTTCATTATTATTTTATTTTTTTTTATATATACATTATTTCTTTAGTATCTATTTCAAATTAAGACACTTTAGTTTTTGCTAATAGAATTTTGACATCAATACATCGCTATATAAATGCTTATTTACCTTATATTTATACTTAAATATCTTGTTATAATTTACTAAATGTAATGGTGATCTAGTATTTTATAAAATAAAGGTAATTAATGTCTAACTTAAGTGTAATATTTAATTTTTTTTTTTTTGTATTTTTAAATTTTAAAATAAATTGCACAAATACAATTTATTTGAACATTTCGTTTAAACTTATTTTTATAATTTATTATTAGTTCATAAAAATATAGATTGTATAATTTACCTGACAAATTTGGAACTATCAAAATTTTAACTGAATTTATAATAAATCATCTAAATTTAATGATAGATGTAAAGAGCTAATATTTAATATTTTTTACTACTTGTTTCAAGTCATGAATAAATATAACTATATAAAAATAAAACAACATTTTAAGAATATCATTGCATTATCTGTTGTATTCCTAATATTAAATAATCATGTACAATAATTTATATTTAACATTAGTTAAACTACTCTTCAAATTTTTATTATTTGTGACTACATGATACATTATCAGTGTTGTAGAGTAAAAAGTAAAAAATTTTTCCTTAGGAGAATTTAATTTACATTAGTTTTAAAAGTTTAGAATTATACCAAGTGCCAACTAATGTTATATAATATGATTTGATTAACTTCAATGATGTTCTCACCAAATATATTGAGAATCAACTCTGAACATTTTTAACAATTTCAATTTAAAGCATTAGAGTACTATAAAGAAGACTTATCATGTACCAAGTGACATAATTTTCATAATAATAATGATTTTGTGATAAAATTAGATTTGACTTATTCAGTATAATGTTGTCAACATGATATTAGACATGCATTTTTATAATTTTTATCAGTAATGCCAGCCTAAAATACATCTTTGTACACAAAAAATATATTTTATTTGATTTTCAATAAAAAAAAACAAATTGCTCTCTTCAAAAACCATGATTATTTTTTCACAATTTATTGAAATTTTAAAGTATACCCTGTGGAAACTCCCCTGGTTAATTCTCAACTTATAGTATTAAGTTTATTTAACAAATTATTTTGTGATTAAAATTCATTCCAACATAAAATATTTCATCTTAATTCCTTTTATAGTTGATACTTGATAATATCAATTAAATTACATAATCCAACACAAAATAAATATTTATCAAAACAAGAATTGAAAAACACATTAGTATATTTTTAATTAAGTATAAAATTAAACTCTGCATTGAATCATAATTAAACTTTTTCTAAATCTTAATTCGTTTAACAATATATTATTTACATTAAACCATTTTTGAATTTTGAAATAAATTCATAAAGTATTGTAATTTGTATTACTGTTTTAATTTTTCTCAACATTAACTATTTGTTGATATTAAATTTGAAATAAATAGGTTTTTTTGTATAAAATTGCCTAAATAACAAATTTTTTTACAATATAAAATTCACTCATTCTTTGATTAAAATACTAAACAGAAATTTTTATTGTAAAAAAAAAAACATTTACAATTCATAAACAAAAAAATAAAATATTAACAGAGTAACTAACATTGTGTGATATAATAGTCTTATTCTTAAGCTTGTTTATTTTCATTCTCAGAATTTGCTGATAGAACTTCAGGTTCTCTTTTGTCTAGCATTGATTCAGTTGCTGGATCTTGAATATTGACGATTTCATCCTTTTTTCCAAAACATTTTTTTATAATAAAACCCATTAATAAGGGTATGGGGGTCATCAATGCAACAGCAACTGGTATAACTAAAATAATTAACAGTTAGATATTACTAAATAATATCAACTATTTAAAAATAAATTGATATTACCAGTTGTTATATCTGCGGCTGGCTGTCCCAGAGAAAATTTTAACATAAATATGGCAATACCAGTGTTTTGTATACCAGATTCAACTGTCATAGAAATTATATCAGGTTTAGGTAGACATGCTAAGATAGATGTTAATAATCCTATCAAATAACCTGTCCATGGTATCACTGCACCAGCTAAAATGATCTAAAATATAAAACACATCAGAAATTGAATAATTTAAAAATACAAATAAAATTAAATACTCACTTTCCAAGAAAATATTTTGAACAGGTATAAGTTAGTGACTGTGGCAAAGATAATTATAAATATTATCAAACAGCTAGACAATGGCTTTAGTATACGAGTCATAACTCGACTTACTCTAGGCATAAGACGCTGAATACAATATCCGATACACAAAGGAATAATTAATGCAATAATAGAGAATCCAATTCTGGAATAAGGAACAGGCATTTCACCCACAGAAAAGATACGTTTACCAAGAAACACAATCCAAAATGGTATCATAACTGCAAAATTCAAAATATATTTGTAAATTAATAAACAAAAGCAACTAATGCAATAAATATCTATTTTATTTATCCCCATCAATTTTGAAATTTTATAACTCAACTTAATATTATATTAATATATTATGTATGATTAAATAATAAAAATAATAGTTAATGTATTTCTAAGACTACTGAGAAATTTATTACTGTAGATGTTTTCAAAAATACATACTAAATGATTCTAGTGTTCCAACAGTTGTCAAGACAATGCTGAGATTTATATTGCCATCTAAAAGAAGCGACCATACACTAGATGCACCTCCACCAGGACTTATTCCCGTAAAAAATAAACCCAATTGCATTGAAACTGAATTTGGAAATATAAGTTTGGCATAAAAAAAACTTAACTGAAATAAAATAAAATATATATTGATTACTTGTATTAGTTGAAATTTTAATTTAGTTAAAACTTACTATTGGTAAGATTAAGAACTGAGCAAAAAATGAAACTGCAGGAGCTATTGGTTTTCTAACTGAATGTTTAAGTTGTTCCACATCTAGAGCACATCCTAAGTTAATAAATATTATGGTCATCAAAACAGCAACACAAATGACAAATATCTTATCAATCAGTTGTGGTTTTCGAATTACTTTGATGTTCATATGAGAATTGCTTGAATTTAAAACTAGCATTGTATTATTTTCTGAAAAAAAGGTAGTTTAGTTAGTAAAAACATAATTATATAAGGTACTTGAGTAAGTACTTCTAATATTGACATACTATACTTAAACTCACCAAATTTTACTACTTGAAAGTACAATTTTGTGTACCCAAGAAATTCAGAAGTTAAGTTAAAAGAATTTTCCCACAAGCTTGATGGCGAGGAATTATTTTGTGGTAACTCAAAAAAATGTCTACTAGGATATGCTACATTTTCGTCAGAACTGATTACTTGAAGTTGTAAATTTTCGTTCTCCCAGGATGCATTTGTCTGTGCATAGAATACCATTTTTGTAAAGCTGCCCATTTCCAACTCTTCTTCTGTATTGTTAAAAGTGAATATCCAATCATTGTCAGCTATTTCAGTGGTAAAACATGTTGCCACGCACAAATTCAATAAAAATACAGTACGTAACATGATGACATACATTTTTACTAAAAAAAATATTATTTTAACATTGGTCGAGTAAAGAACACAATCACTACGAGTTATGGGCTAAATAAATAACAAGTAAATCCATTATTGAGTATTTAATTAATTAAATTATAATTCAAAGCATTTAATTATTTAAATAATAGGTATTTATTATTGACCCTGTCTAAAAGCTTTAAACCTTAAGATAAAATATGCGATTTTAATTTATAATTGTCGTAAATCTTTATTCTTTATATAGGTATATTATTACACTAAATTTTACAAATTTAATTATAATATAACATTTATTCTACAACTAAACGCGTTATGTAATCTGAATTCTAAATAACCAAATAACTAATTTGATGATAATAACCCGAATGTGAACTGATATAGTAGTGTATTATTACTATGATGATAACCGGCATTCGACTTATGAAAATATATATAACGTAAAATGTAAATAACAAATGACGAATAATATTATGACTATTACTAGTAGTTAATTATTTTTTTTCAAATTAAAAATTTATTTTCAAAAACTCAAATTATTTTTGAAGTATTGTTTCGTTGTCATAATGAACAATAGGAATCAGTTTTGTGTTGACGAATATATGATTTGAATTTGATTCTATCAAATATCTAATTGAAAATGGGATTATCTTTAGAAGTAGTAAGTATATTATATTTTGAAAATTACTTAATATTAAATATAAATAATATACCTAATCTATTAAATCACTAAAATTTTAAATAATTTATAATTATTCTTAATAGTCAGTTTTTGGTATTGTTATAACTGTTATAAGTATAGGAAGATATCACACCTATATATTATAATTATTAATTAATGATTGATATTTAATGATAATTTTTGTTGTATCATATTAATATTGTCGTTCAGTTATATACAATTTCCAATATTTCCATATATCATATTTAAATAAATTTGATAAACATTTAATTAGGTTAATTGTATAGATTAAGTTGTGAAAGTTATTAGGATTCCTCTACTTAAGGTTATCCAAACATTATTATTTTTTAATACCATCAAATTCCTTTTATAGCTGTATTATCGTTAATAATAAGAATTAAAAATTGTTAAGCCTTTGCACATGTTTGTTTAGATTATAATGATATATATTTAACGTTTAACAGTTATTTAAATTTTAAAATATTGGTTTATCATTTCATTTTTGTAATGAAAAAAATAAATTATAAGAAATAGAGCTACATTAATATTTAAAATAAAAAAAAATATAATTTACCAACTTGTTTGTTCATTTGGTATATTTATACAATTATAGGATACCCATTATTCAATAGTATGACGATTATTTTGTTTTTGTTTTTTTTATTATTTGATTAAACATAACAATTACATTTCATAGGGACTATTTTTTTTTATTAAATAAACCATTACACCTATATGATTTATCTACATTTAAATATTTAGTGGACTAATTGTATATAATAGAGTTTCAATAAAAAAAAAAAAAATGTATTTTAGTATGTTGTTCCAAATTTCAATAATTTGTATACATTTTTTGGTTATAAGCTTAATTATTCATTTATATGTAATTAATTATCGAAGTATAAATCATTTTTAAAATTCAACAACTTCATATTTAAAAAAAATAAAAATATTTATTTTTTTATAATTATTGTTATTTATTTATTCATATTACAATAATAATTTGTACATTAAGTAATTAATAATTTCAAAAACTATATGATAACGATAGAATTTAAATAGGTAAATTTAAAATTACTCAGCAGTATTAACATTTAATAGCTAGAAATATAATATAATTAATATCATCTAAAACATGATTAAAAAAAAAAAATATGATTTATATTTATAAAACATTAAACTATACATGTTTTTATGTACATTCAATTATTTAAACAGAAGATAAGATAATAATAAGTACAATTTGTATTATTATTATTACATTTTGTATATTATGTTGAAGTATAGTTTGTGTAATTATATATAATATTTCTATTATCTCATAAAATAAGAGTTTTTGTCGAGCTAATTTTTGATTAGTTTTTAAATCAATAAACTAGTTGGTTACTATGACAATTGTTTCTGTTTTTGTTTATATAATTGAATACATTAAAAAAATACATGTGGGCATGTGGCATGTGTATACAAAATTAATCTGATACATTTTTTGTTAAATAACTTTTGAACTTATTGAAATAATATGTTTTAAAGAAATGTTTAGTAATTGGAAATTCAAAAGTAAATCAGGTTATTATACAATATTTGATTAAAAAAATAGATTTTCAGTTATTCATTATTAAAACCATAACATGATTATTAAGTATATAAGTAATATGTGCTTTGGCATAAATTCTAAAATATTTATTATTTTACCTATTTTAGTTGCTTATTAGTTATTACCTACTATACAATTTACATATTACATAAATAAATTGATCTTATATTTTTATATTTTTGAACTCAAGAAAAATCATATTTTGGTTGTTTTATTTTGTCGAATTCTCCTATATTAACATTTTAAGTAAACGTTACGTGTTGAAGTGACTATGAATTTCGTTTTCTATGACCCATATCATCATAACGACCGTGTAGTATAATTCGCTTCACTGGATTTATTCCGTAACAGGTACTTCCTTGCACCAAATCTTTTTTATACATTATATAAAACAGGTACCTCATCAAATATATATGCATGATTTACCCCATAACACAGTTCCTTATAGGTAATACTAATAATACGTTTTTCGTTCCTGGCAACTAACTACTGGAGTAGGTATATTGCATAAAAATTAGTTGGCGTACTACATGTTTTCAATTCCGTCAAATAAGCTAATATTGTAATTTAAAATAAATATGCATAAAAAAATATTACATTATATACCTGCCAACATATTTTAATACAACAATAAACTATATTGCTATTGCATGCGATATGTATATGTATGCGTGTGTGTAGTATAGGTATGTCAAGTAGCGGTCCAATAAGCGATCTACAAAAACAAAAATTATATTTTTATACTTAAATAATTTTTATAGTTTCGTTGGATAATAAATTATAAAACATCTAAAGGTCGTAAATAAGGTAAACATTGGTAAAATAACAGACATCAAATGATCAAGTAATAATTTAAAACACAATTAACTATAATTCGTGTTTCTTCAGTGTCTCGACTCTCGATTTATGAAGTACTATAATTATACGATTATCTACCTATTATTTTGTCCGTGGATTAAATATTGTATTGGGTTTCATCGTGAATTCTCTTTACAACGAGAAAACGCGTTGCTGTTCGCCGAAAATCGGTTTTTCTCCGCATCCCAACTCGACACGAATGGCAGGTTGTGGTTATCGAGTGGGAATACGAAGAATCGGCGTGTTCATTCGATGGATAGAATATACAGACGTAATTTTTGACTTGACAAATGACTAACGTGGTGGTGACTTTAGCAGTGGATGACGGACGAATTATAATCACAATAGTATAATAAAATATGTCATTAAATATCGGACCAAACGGTTTTGATAAATTTTAATTGTCGACACTACCTATACAGTATATAATATATAAAACGATCGTTTATTATTATTAGACCTCTACCGAACACCACAACATTACAGATTTTGTACACGTGCTGCCGCGTATCAAAACGTTGTGTATTTGTTTTTCTGGGCCGACGACGACAACATCACCGTCTCGTCCAACGCCGCGTTTATGCGGTCCACGACCATCTGCAGACTGTAGTGGGCGAAAAACGGCACTGGGTCCCAATACGCGAATACCATTTCACGTTCCATGACCACCGTGCGCACCAGACGCTTGATCGACTGGACAGTGGCCATCCGGGTGATCGTCTCCCAGAGCAGCCGCGTAGCGCAATACCGGTCCGTCGTTTCGGCCACGAGTTCGGTGGACGGCGGTGCGGCGTCCGCGTCCGTGTGCGCGACGGCGCTCGCCCGTGCACCCGCTGCACCGTTCGAACGGTGCGCGTGAGGCGGCGGCGGACATTGCACGAGGACGCGTTCGAAATTGCTGCGGTACGACGCGTACGTGACGGGAACGCCGACGTGACAACCCAGCGGTATGATCTTCCGGGACGGCGACACGCACACCCTGAACGACAGGTAGCCGTCGAACGGCACCGGGACGGCCGACACGAACCGCGCGGTCCAGTCGTCGATCAGCGCGTTCCGGTCGGCCACCCGTCCGTCGGCCGCGGTGCACGTCACGTTACACACCACCCGGCCCGCCTGCACCGTGGTGCACGTCGTGTAGTACGACCCGAGACAGTGCTGGACCAGCAGCCACGGGCGTTCGTCGGACACGGGCCCGGGAAGTCGCAGCGACTTCCGGGCGGCCGGCAGCTGCAGGCTGTGCGCCGCCTTGCATCCGGACTGGCCGACGTTGACGATGAAATGCCGGTCGGCCCTGAACGACAGATTTTCGTAAAGCTTGATGACGTCGTCCTTCGAGCACACGAGCAGGTGCTTGGGCACCGGTAGACCGACCGTCTCGCACAGGCTGAACACCTCGGACAGGTCGTTGAGCAACGCGACGCCGTCCAGTCCCGGCGTCCAGCACCGGCACCCCAGCAGTTCCAGATGCGGTTTGGCCACCGCGTCGTAGTACGCCGACACGGTGGCGCCGGTGGGCACGTAAACGTCCACCCGTTCCCTCTCCACGATCGCCCTCAGCGCGTCCACGTACTGCACGCAGTTGTCCTCGTTCGGCCCGGGCACGGTGTAATGGTGGTCGGCGGCCACCGAGAACGAGCTCAGCTCGGCCCGCCCGTCGATCTCGCACACGATCACCCGGGCGCCCGCCCTGTAGAAGTTTCTGACCAAGTGCAGCGCCTGCACGGTGCTGCCGCCGTTTATCAGCACGGTGTACCGGCCCCGGCGCCGGTTCGGGTCCGCTGTGCACAGCCGCAACACGCGCCTGGACACCACCAGCGGTACCCTGGCGCACTTCCAGGCGCACCGCGCCCACAGGCACAGGCACAGCGACGGGACGCGCACCAGCAGCACGTTCACCCACGTCAGGCCGAACAGCGCGTTGGCCACCGTCCAGAAAAACGTTGACGCGTACCCGTGGATCGTACCGGCCGTCACGTCCTGCGGCTGCAGCAGGCGGCCCGGTGGCGGAGACGTGCGCCTGTCCAGCAGGTAGAACGTGGACTTTGAGCGTTTGAAACTGTGCGACGGCGAGACGGCCGGCGAGCACGGATAGCTGTCCGTACCCGAACCGCTGCACCGGTAACGGTCGTCGGAAATGGGCACTTGGCGAACCGTGTCCGGCATCGTGAACAAACGAACGGTCACTGTCGGAACTGAAACTCGGTTCTCGGCGTCCACCGGTCAAAGTTCTTCAGACCGTCGTTATCAAAGTTTTATCGGTTTTTTTCCGGTTCGGTTCGCCCGTTCTCGACCTTTGATTTAATTAGCGCTTAACGTAATTAAATGGTGTTTAAAAAGTAATAATAATAACGGTTTATCTAATTATGATTTTCTCACGTATCATCAAAATAATAAAATTATATAAATGAACGAATTGTATTAATAAGCCTTCGTTTGGTATATTGTACATAATATCTATGATTGTATTATACTGTTGTATACAAATAAGTTATATGTGTATATATATATAGATACACGTAGAATTGTGGTATATTATATATTTATATATGTATAAACGAGAATATCCGTCGTCTCTTCCTCATTCACAGACTTTTTATCATTACACATAATATAATATAGACTGTGTTGTTTGTGTTTCAAAGGTATATCATGGTATATACTATTATTATTGTACATACGGACTATAGAGGTCAAGTACGTTCTATATAAAGTGGCTTGCATAGGTTGCATTCGCTACGGCCGTGTTTAATTATTGTTTTACTCAAACGTGATGTCTGTTTATTGTACACCCCGATGGTGTGTTTAGAAACATAATATGAAGACACTAAAAACAGTACAAATATTAAGTAATATTAAAATTACAAATTAATTGTAGGAGAGCATAAATATGATTATAGTTTGAACTTTAACTCGCCTAGTTATTTTTGTTTTTTGTTTTTAATAAGCATTTTTATTGATAAAATTAAGAGTAATAATGGTGTGGATATGGATAAGTAATGTTAAATAGATAAACTATTTATAGAAAATAAAAACAAAAACTATCATTTATATATTACCATATTGTACATACATTTGTTTAAGAGGGATTCAAAATTAATAGCTTTTTTAAATTTAATACAGATTTGTGCTTGTTTAGTGATGTTCATTAATTCCTTGTGAGATTATAAATAAATAAAAAATGTAAATACTTATTTAACTGTAATTGATATCAAAAAAGGGTAAAGTTAATTAATTAGTTCATTGTAATTAAACAGTGATTATAGTTAGGCAAAAAAATTAACAAACAAGTTTTTAAATAATACTCTCTAACATAAATGAAAAAAGTTAGTAATTTGGAATTGAGTTGAAATATCAGTTTTTCTTTATGTAAATATGTGTTTGATTCATTTTAAGAATAATCTAATTTCATTATTATTATTATTATATAGTTTCATTTATATTATTCAAAGTATTTGATCTGTAAAAATCAAATTTGGGATGGGTACTTATTTAAGTATTTAAATATTAACGGAGTAGTGATCAACATTTTTCTAGCTTTTCCTGTACCACTTTACTCCATTCACCTACACTTTAAACACTTATTATATTACTCATTAACTATTCGTCCAAAAATGTTAATACTACGAAGTACTTCAAAAAATATTCTAATTTGGAATGGGTATTAAATAATCAACGTTGTCACTAGAAATAAGTAAATAGTTTGACGGCTTAAGTGTAAATTTAATAACTATAGTTCAATTAAAGAACTCGCTAAACAATTTTAATTATAAAAATTTTATTATCTCAGTTAGTTGATACTCATATTCGTATAATATTTATGTATAAATACTTTGATATTATATTAATGTATTATAACATTTTATGGTTAATGGTTATCTATTATTAATCTTCTGCGTTATTTATTTTTGTTTTAGTTAATTTTTGGCGTAAATATGGATGATCACCGACTAAGGTAAAATATTTTAAAATAATCTTTAAAATAGCACTTTGAATTATGCATTTATTTTTATTACCTATAAGGCTATACCTAGTATATTAACACTACATTATCATTTACGGGTGGTTTGTTTTCACATATAATTTTTTTTTTTTACTTATTGTTGCACGCGTAATGCAATTTCTCAATGCTTTATAATCGCTTCCTGCTGTCAACTTTCAAAACTTTTGTGATTAATATAATGTCTGAAAGGCTGAAGCCATTTCACCCACATTTTTGCTCCGAGTAAAAAATAAATAAACAGCGCCAGTATGATTTTACGAGTTAACCTATCACGTTTAGTTTTAAACGCCACAGTAACATAATAATAAAAATACCGAAATTATCTGATCATATAATCACCCTCATTTATTACCCATCATATTTCACCCCAAAATAAAACAATCAATGACAGAAAAACGTTATGATTTAATACCGTGCCGAAATATGCATCAGTCATGCAATCCGTAACTCCGCCTTTAGATTTTACTGTCGTGTGTCATGGAACCAGAAGTGTCACGTGACGAGAGCAATTTGTCTCCGTATCTGTCGGCGAGATCACGGTTACCCCTTTGCCTACCCGAAGACGCCAACATGGAGATGGCACTGGCACCTGAATCCCCAAAAATTGAACAACAGTCGCAAAAGACCCTCGTTGTTGAGGTGGTGTCCCTGAAGCCGATTGATAAATTCCGCAGGGCCGTTGCTAAAATGCCTAGGGTAAGTCATTAAACTATTTCAAAAAAAAAATTTTATATTCAACGGCCATTCGATTAAAATACAATGCAAGTCCTTCTACCACGTTTTTTATTTACGGAAGTATTTTAAATTTATTTGCTTACCTACCTTTTAAGTTTATTTAGTGATTAATCAATTATAAACTTTATTTATCAGATTTACAAAACTTTTTTAGGGTGACGGTGAAACTTTTAAATAAAACATTTTTAGTAGATATAACTATTGATATTTCGTACTTTTTCAACACTATTGTGCAACAAAACGTGTAAAAGCAATTTTTTTTTATTCAATTTTTATTTTAAAATATCCAATTAGTTCTCCAAGAAAGAAACCGCCACATCAGGGAAATCCAGAAGTGTTCCAAAATTGGGCACTGAAAGTATTGTTCGGTTAGATGGAGGGCGTACAAGTTTAAGATTACCAACAAATCGTTCACAAAAAACCGAACAACCAATGGATTTAGCTCGGGAGAATCAGGCTTTGCACGAGCGCCTGCGGGAAGAAGCTGCTCGGTATGAAAGACGACTGGATACATATAAACTGGCGCAACAGAGACAAGCTGTCCTTGTTAGCAGACTCCAAGCAAAGGTCGGTACTTTAAATTTTAATGCACCAGCGCTATTAGTGTTATTAAATGTATGACTTTTGATTTTCAGGTAATGCAGTATAGAGAACGCTGTTCTGAACTGGAAAGAGAGATGCGAAGTAGTATTCCAGCAATTGATAATGTTAGAAGTTATCGTGATTCAGTAAGAGACTATCAATCAATGGACTTGGATTCTGCAATACGTGCTTTAGAACAAGAACGATCTAAGTAAAATTTTTTTTTTTTTTAATAGATAGTTAATTTATATTCTATTTAAAATTGTAGATCTGAAAAAATCATGGAACTGAACTCGACGCTCAGAGAACAATTAGATGATGCTCAAACAAGTAATGAAACATTATCTACAGACTTACAAAAATTAACTAGCGATTGGGAAAAAATGAGAGATGAAATGAATGCTAAAGAAGATGAATGGAAAGAGGAAGAACAAATGTTTAATGAGTATTGTTCATTAGAACATGGTCGAATGATGAGTCTTTGGCAGGATGTAGCCCAAGTTAAACGGATGTTCAATGATATGAAATCATCAACTCAACAAGATCTCAATAAACTTCGAGGTGAACTATCTTTAGCATCAAACGATATGGTTACTACTTGCAGTGGCTTAGTGAATGCTGTTAAACGATCGACATATTCTGAAGTAAAGTACCTACCAAAAAATATTTTATTTATACCATTCTTATGTCTATTTAATTTTAGGAAAAACAATATGAACATTTGCTGAAAGAAAATACAACATTACAAAATAAAGTGGAAAAATTGCAAAATGATTATGATACTGTATGCTCACAGTTGCGACAAAAAGAAATGCATTTAGAAGATCTTAAAACTAGTCTTTCTGAATTTGTTAGTATTGTTATTTAAAATATGTTAATTATTTTATTTAACTAATTTTTATATTATAGGAAGACAAATGTATGGATTCTAATAAAAATGAAAAAGAAGCAGACAATTTACGAATTGATGTTGATGTATTGATGTCTGGAATGCAGGAAATAGTTAAGGTGCTACAACAAGATAAAGAAATTCTTGGTGATTTAAATAGACCTTTGGCTCCACCACATGTTCATCTTAGCACTGGAATTATTAAGTCTGACACAAAATCAAAACCACTATCTGCAACTAGTAACTTTGTCGATAGTACTTTATCAGCCGTTCAGTCTGTTGTTTATAGATATCAATCAAACATTCATGAACTTCAAGTTCAATTATCATCTTGTGTTGATAAAATGTCAGAAACAAAAAAACATTGTGAACAATTAGAAATGTTGGAAAAAGAGTTACAAGTGAAAATTGAAGAACTGAGTAAAGAGCTAGATGACTGTCGAAATGTTAATAATCAATTAGGCCATGAACGAGACTCGCTTGCTGAAACACTTGAAAGACTACGAAATGAGGCTCAAGCATTACAACAGAACAGAATGCATGTCAGCGCTGTGGTAATAATTTTTTTTTTTAATATTTTTATATATTAATTTTTATTTTTTTTGTATAATTAACATTTATCTAAAAAGACAAATAAAAAGTTAAATATTTATAATTTTTTTTATTTCAGGTAGAAAATATGAATTCTGATTATGATAAAATACAAAAAGCTAATGCTAAATTACAAAAATTAAATGATACCTTGGAAGATGAAAAAATGTTCCAACAAGGTGAAATAGATCGGTTATTAAAGGAAATTGACATAAGAATGTTGTCAGAAAATGATGTACAAGACAGATGTAGTTGTTTAAAAGAAGAATTGATTAGTATCAAAGAAGAATTGAATCAAGTGTATTTGGATAAAGAACTTTTAGAACAACGATGTGTGGAACTTGAAATTTTACAAGCTAAAATGGAAAAAAATAAAGGTTATTATTTAAAATATATTTATATACAGTAAATATTATTTTCAATTATTTAAATTTGATTATATTATACTTATAATT